TCTATGCGGCGCTGGGTGCGCAGGGCCTGGGCCCAACGCTGCGACGGTGGCGGCCCGCGCTGCTGCAAAACTTCCTGACGCCGGAGGCAGAACCCGATGGAACCCAAACCCCCAAAAACCCCAACTGACTTCAACCATCTTCAACCTGAACTTCTGGTCGGTTTTTTTTCCAATAAGGAGAGGCAAGGGCCGGTGACTGGACGGCAGGCGGCGGCGGCGGTGCGGTCGGAGCTCTTGGGCCCGGAGGCGTCCTGGCACCGGACCTCGCTGGAGCCCCCCGAGGAGCCGAAGCTGGCGGCGGAGCGGAGGCGCCGGGTGCAGTTCGCTCTCAATGTGCAGTGGATGTCAAGGAGTGTAGAAACCAGCCAACAAAAATAGAGTTGGTCGGTTGATGGGCCTTTAAGATAGAATGCGTGGCAGGTACCTGGAGCGCGTCGCCAAAGCCGCGGACGCGAGGACTGCTGACAGTCTCGGCTTGCATGAGGACTTGGCCAATGTGTCCTGCATCGGCGAGCCACAGAATGGGCGGCCGCGGCCGGCTGACTGGGGGCCCCTGGCGCCCGTCAGCTTCGAAAAGAGCGACCGTTTGAAGCTGGAGAAGCCTGCGGGCTTTGTGACCAGTGAGTTGGGGGAGGTGCACTTCTTCTCGAAGAAGCTGAAGTACATCCCTGGGCCCGACTTCGAAGCCTTCGGGGCCTTTGGTCCTTCTCCAAGGATGCCTTGCCTGGCACGGCTGCTGCGGGTGCTGGCAGCACCGGAGACCTTGGAAAAGCTGCAGGGAGTGCTGGCCTCGCGCTTGTCGTTGGAGCCTTTTTTGATTCGGATCTACCAGTACAACCGGCCGTACCACTACACTTGCCCTCACACCGATGAGATGGCGGTTCAGGTCTTTGACCTGAACAATCGTTCCCACGACATGCAGAGTGTGCTGTCGCTGAATGTGAATCTCGGCGGCGACGTCGAGCCAAGCCAGCGCAACGGGGGGTTGGTGTGGTGCACGCCGCGGCCGCGCTGGCTGCCGGCACCCCTTGGCTCTGCGGGAATCTTCCGCATCAGCAACCACTCCTGGCACGCAGTGCTCCCTGGCCGCAGCCAGCCCACCGGCGTGCGCCTCACGATTCAGGTGGTGTACGCAGCGGAAACCCCCGCCTCGGGCATGCCACAGGCCTTCGGCTTCGACCAATCTGAGCACCGCGCCGTCTTCAAAGGAGACCAGGCCGCCAGTGCAGCGCAGGGCTTTGGCGCAGCTGAGGGCAGGTGCCACGACAGCTCGGGGGACTGTGACGAAAACTGGCCTACAGAGGACAGGATGAAGATGGAAGGATGCAAAGGGGGGGAGCTGCTTCACAGCATTTGCTGTGCCAGCTGCGAGCAATTCTGGGAGGAGCGGTTCCGGGTCGTTGCTGGCTTGGAGAACCAAGTCCAAGCGACTGCGGTCTTTTTGCGCTCCGCTCTTCCGCGCTTTTCTCGGCGCCTGTCGGAGGACGTGACAATGCCGCTCCTGGCCCTGGGCACGGGTGGCATGTCCGGGCGGCGTGCTGCGGACGTCATCGCCTTCGCGCTGCGCTGCGGGTTTCGGCACTTGGACTCCGCCGCCATCTACCCCAGCTTCCCCGACCAGCTGAGTGCGGGCCTGGCGGCCAGTGGCGTTTCCCGGCGCGAGGTCTTCCTCACCACCAAGGTGCCCACCACAGCCATGGGCTTCGCTGCTGCATGGGCGCACCTGCGGCGCATGAAGGACGAGCTCCCGGGCGGGTATGCGGACCTGTGCATGGTGCACTGGCCGCAGCCGGATCAGCCGGCGCCCCCCAACACAGACCCTGTGCTGTGGGAGGCGCTCGAGCGTGCAGGGACCTGGAGGGCGTTGGAAGAGGCCCATGCGATGGGCGTCTGCCGCACGCTGGGGGTGAGCAATTACATGGTGAAACATTTGGAGGAGCTACTGCGCTATGCCAAGGTACGGCCTGTGGTGAACCAGGTTGAGTACTCGCCCAAGGCGCCGCTGCTGGACCTGCTGGACTTCTGCCAGCAAGAGCGCATCGCAATCAGCGCCTTTGCGTGGAACCGGCCGGAGGTTTTGCTGCAACAGGAGCTTGTGACGCTGGCAGAGGAGCTGCAGCCACCAAAGGTCTTGGAGCGGAATTTGCTCATGACGGTGCTGATGCGTTGGTTCATGGCGCAGGGCATGGTACCCCTCTTCCGCAGCGAGCGGGAGGAGAACATTCTGGCCATGGCAAGATCGCTCGAGCTGCCCGAGCTTTCAGAGGCGCAGGTGGCATTTTTGCGCCGCTCGGACGCCAACTACCCCTGGAAGTACTACAAAAACCAGCCCTGGAACGCAGTGGTGCTTGGCCCCATGGGGTAAAAAGATCCGATGGGGCGGTTTTGCTGCATAGCAGGGGAAATCTTTGTGATGAAAACCTGAGCAGGTCCGAGACTTCTCTATGGAGGAGCACCTTCAGAGGCGTGTCTCCACGGCAGCCGGCAGCCCCAGATGCAGCAGGCAAGCATGGAAACTGTACGGAGCGTACATCCACGCGTAGGTTGTTTCATGCTGGGGTACTTGAAATTCGCGGGATGACTCAACTTACAGCGCCACACATTGTTCACAGACGCTGTGATCTTTAATGCGCAGATACATAGATGGCTGCGGGTCAACTCCAATGGTACCATTTTGGGGTAGGTGCACCACCCAATTTAGCCTATTTCAGTGGGGATTGGGATGTTCACTGGGGGTACGATTTGGGTGTTGACCCAGAACCACATCGATGTTTCGAGGCACACTACTGTGGATGGACAGAATCCTGCACCACCAAAGAAACCATGGGAAACCATTCTTGGTTGGTATTTACGGGGAATCATCAAATGCCAGGGTTTCTTAGGTGGCAAAACCCTGGACCCCTGGTGACCGTCAAAATTTGTGGCAAATGGATGTTCATCCCACCCCAAAACGGAGCCATAGGTTATGCCCCGCCAGATGTCTTTAGGCCCTTCACACGCGCGCTGAGCCGCCGTCGCCGAGGTGGCGGTGCTGGACATGGCCAGCTCTGTGAAGGCGCTGGCGGCCGCCGAGCACAGGGCCACAGAGCAGCGGCGCTGCGGCACCGGCCAGGAGCGACGCGGGTTTGGGGCGGGTGGGCCGGGGGGCGGGGGGTGGGTCAAGAAATACGGCAACCCCAAAATGGGTTACCCTGGAAAATGGAAGCATGGACTAAAACCTGCGAGTCCTCTGGTGGTTTAACTTTGACCCATACCCAAATGAGGAAAGAGTTGGTGTGTGTGTGTGTGTTTGTTACAAAGGGACACAACTACATACCCCCTGCGGGTTGCCTCTGTATTTGCGGGTTGCCAAGAAGAGTGGGTGCCCATTCAGTGGGGTTATGTAGGGGCCTTTGGGTGTTTTTTTGTTAAGGACAACATCTTTTTTGTGGTTTTCAAGGGAACCCAAAGGGAAGACGCCATTTCGGGTGGTCCCTTAAGAAGGAAAGAGGTCCTCCTACGCATTTGTGTTCGTTTTCCACAGGTCTCGCACTAGATACGGGTTTATGTTGCACTTGGTATCATGACAATTCGGAAGTTGCTATCTGGCGTGAACGGTGCTAGCTTTGATCCACAACATCTGCTCAAGGCACGTTCCTGAGTGCCAATCCGCTCCAGGCTCTTGGAGATGTTTTCCCCCGCAGCTCCTTGGCTGAAATGAGACCGGTTTTTGCTATGAAGAACCTTTGTTGAGTCGGTGTCTCAACTTTTTGGAGAGCTTGTTTGGCACTGCTTGGACTTGTTTAAATGTATGCCAAGTCTGGCTCACTGAAGCTTCAAACCGACCAGCGGCTTGCATCGCCGTGTCGGGTGCCGGAGAGCTCTGCAGGCACCCACTTCAACATGGTTGGCTTGCGCGCGGCGAAGCCGCGCCTGAGCCCCCTGGAGACTTGAGCCGAGCGAAATCGAGCGAGCGCGATTTCTCGCGGAGTTGCCGTAGTTGGCACAGATAGGAAACCAACAAATTGGAGATTTGTGTTAAAGCGGATGGGTTGATTGGTTAAGACATTCGCGGTGGATCCAACCGCACAGACGGGCACCCCTGCAGTTTGGAGAGGCAAGCTGTGGAACAGAGCTAAAAAACACACGAGATATGAGTTGGCTCAGGTGGGAGGGGTATTGACATGTTTCCATTGATCAGTCAAACGATATAGAGGAGTCATCAAAAAAAAGAGGCAAACAAATAAGGATTCAAAGATTCCAAAATCGGACTGCCAAGATTCCAACACAAGGTGCTGGCTTGCTTCCCATTGGTTTGATCTTGTTGTGAGGTTGGGTGGGTTGGGTTCAGGGCTGGTTTGGGTCGGTTTAGGACAGGGGAGTGCGGAATTGTTGAATGTGGAGTTAGCCTTGGTTCGGTAGGATCGTAAAGACTGTTGAGCATTGGTTGAGGGTTGGTCTAGGAGTTGCCTAGGATAGGTTGATTAAGGTTTGTCAGGTGGGTTTAGACTGGATTCACATTTTGGTGGGAGGGGTATGTGATGTGGGCCAAGGTTTAGTTGTGATTGTTTAGATAGGTTTCAGATCGGTTTAGCTTGGATCCATAGTTTCCATGGGATTGAATTAGAATTTCCGGCTACTCTGCTTGTGAATCGTTTCCGCATCAGGTCGGATCCGTTTCTGGATCCGACCATGTGGCTTCAGGTTTCCGGCGCCTTGCTTGGTTGTTCACGTAGGTTTTTGTGATATTTGTGACGGGGTGCAGATCATAGGCAAGGTCGATTCTGGATTGGGTTGCTTGTTCTGTTGCCACGGTTGATACAAATGAATGCATTGTTGTTTTTGGGAAGCACACTGGTTAACAGTTTAGGGCGTTTTTTTTTGGTTTGATTCTTTTGGAGTCTGTCAGGTACCCTTTCTGGCGCACCAGCCTCCTGCCCTCTCTGCACTTCGAGTCAATCCCCTGTTTTCAAAAGGAAAACGCCGCGGCGGATGGATTTTTGATCCAAGAAACGTGGCAGGTACCGGGGCAGGCGGCGGTGCGGGTGCTTGGAGCCCGTGGCCCGGACCCGACACGTAAGGGCGCGGAGATGTGCCGCATTCGAAGTAAGTCGCGATGGCTGTGGCTCAAAGTTAAGCAGGAGGGGATACGCAGGTTTTGGTCCGTGTTTCCACTTGCCAGGGTTCCATTTTGGGTACTGGCTTTTTGAGCCACAGCCTGACGACTTCGAGTTGTATTTGGCATTATCAGCAGCCGAAAGAAAGAGACTCGCCGCATCGCACAAAATGCTGAGGTTCGTCGTCTCCAGAACCAGGGGTGCTGGCCGAAGACTGCGGCTTGGCGAGGTTTCAGGGTCCAAATTTGGGAGCTCTTGCGCTGGGATTCCAGCATTTCGCCCTCGCGCAAGCTGGTTTGCGCAGAGGGGTTCGGTGCTTGAGGGCAGAGTGTTCTTGTGCCGCTGCCAAATGAGATCTGGCTGGCATATTCCAAGCCACTCCATACTTGGAAGCTGCAGGCTGCAGTTGGCCTCGCGCTTCTTGCGGGCCCTGTTCTGAGAGGTGAAGGATTCGTTGTCTCTGGGCTTTGTGTTGCGCCAAGCATATCCGGCGCCAGTCAGAAACATGCAGTGCTTTTTTTTGCTGTGCAAAGGATGCCCTCAGATTTCGCCAAAGATGACTTGTGGCAAGGCTCAGGGCATCACCCGCCTCTACTCCGGCTGGTGCCTCGGGTCTGCGGTGTTGAACCTATGGCTTGCACCTGCGGCTTGGCTGAGGAGTGTTTTTTTTTTTTTTACAACAGGATGATACATGGGTGTGTCTTTTTGTTGGGGGGTACTCTTTTTTGGCGGTTGTGAAGGGGCGCCAACAGAGCACCCACCATTTTGGGCTCCGTTAAATCACGACACACCCATGTCCTGCTTTCAAGCTCCTTCTGATCTTTTGACTTCGCAAGCATTGTGAAGCTGCGATAGGTGTAGACCTCTCCAAGCCATTGGCCATGGTTGGGGGCCCATAGCCAGTCGGCCGGCACAGGTTGCCCATGGGTTGCCCGTGCGTTTGCAACATGGGAACATCGCGGGAACGGGTCCAGTTGCCACCAGCTAAAACAGAGTCGGGTTAATACAATCACCATTGTGGTTGCGTTCAGGAGTTTCATCATCCGACTTGGGTCCTTGCCGTTCTTCTTTTTTTTTTTTGATGGGGGTTGAACCTTCACATGATGCTTTGCGTGCAGCCACTGAGGCAGCGCATACCAGCTGGGGCTTTGTGGAAGTCACGCGGCAGGAGCGGGGTCTTGGATGACCCAGGATCCCGCACCACGCCGTCTCCAAGCAACAAGTTCGACTTTTGTTACATGGGTCTGGGTCAAAATTAAACCACCAGGGGACCGCAGGTTTTAGTCTACCAAGGTTCCATTTTGGGTACCTATTTTTGACCCACGGCCACATGGCTTGCCATTACGTGCGTCGTGTTGGTCTTTCTTTGCTCCTTTACTTTTTGCTTGGTCTGAAGACCCTCTGCTGCAACCCCCACAGAAAGAATGCGCAAGGGCAGAGGGTGAAGCGCCATGCTTTTGGAAGGACTGGGCGGAGGCTGGTCTGGCGTTCTACCGCCAGGGCGACGTGCCCCAGCCTCGGACGGGGAAGGGTTGCCCCCAATGTGATCTCACGACCTGAAACGCGGAGGGGCCGTAATTGGTGCAGAACATGTCGGTGCCAGGAACTCGACGAAGTTGATTTGGGCCGGCTGAGGTGTTACACTCTGCGGGATCTCAGCTTGCGGCTCAAGAAGTCTGCAGGTCGCTTGTATATAAGCAAGGGTGCCTGTTATGGAACAGCCCAGATTGCATGATGTCGCCCGTCAATCTTCTCTATTGCTTGCTGACACAAACATGGGAATTCATCAGCATCATGTCAGCGGAGGAAACAGAGGAACGCCTAGGATTCGTGCGCCTGAATCTGGTCTTTTCAAGTCTCGCCTGTGGATGCCGTATGGCTCGCAGCTCCATAGCTTTTGCTGGAGAGTTCATGGAAAAGGAGTTCATTCGGATCTGAGCTGTTTTTGTTTGTTTTTTGGAGTTCTTACCCTTTTTTGGAGTTGATACCCTTCTTTTCTTTTAACGGGGTTGGTTTGAGGGACACAAATCAAACACGAGCGCCGAAGCCATTCTGGGTCCTAGAACACACCCAGTTGGAGTCTTGAAAGCGGCCGATGGAGAGCGCGAGCTCCGGGCCAAGGCGGTTGGCAAGGGCAAATGGGGCAAATGGGGGTTGCTTTGTTTCAGCGGATCCCCCAAAATGGCGGTTTCCTTTTGGTTGCACTTTAGTACCAAGCAAAAGCAGGTACAAGAAAGAGAGACCAATTTAGAGGACCTATTGGGAGGCTAAACGTGGAGTTTGCAGTTTTGGCTTGTGTTTGGAGCTTGATGGAAATGCAATGCAGCTTTGCCACTTCAAAACGCAGGCCTCAAGCACTCAAGACCATGACCGCGTATTTAGCTGAGATAGATGACACGACGGATGGTATATTTCGGGGCAACGCACGTCCTCTCCACACGAAATGGAGCAGGCCGACCGCGCGCATATGGCATCATGCCACACCATGTTTCATGTGACAGAACATCACACTCGGCACGCCTGGACACCCGGCACGTGGAGCAGACAAGGCCTTGCTGTCTCGCGGCATAGACAGATCTCGCGACCATGGCACATGGCTAACCCCCCGCCAGAAAGCATGCATGAAGCACATGAGGTTTTTTGGTAAGACACACAACACACACACACACACCCTGACGCAGCCCGCGTTCCATTTGTCGAAGGAAGGGTTCGCGGAGTGTGAAGCGTTCGCTAGGGCGGTGAAGCTGCCGGGACTGGGGAAGTCCTCCTCGGAGACGTCGGTGAAGCTTGGACGAGCTGTGGAGGGCGCCTGTTTGGGGGGTGGGTTTCAAGGGAGACCAGAGGGCAACAGGTGCATTTTTGGGGGGTCCGCTTTTAGTGTGCCAAGTTGTGAATTTGCTCAGGGTATTCTTTCTTGCGGCCATGCGTACCAGTTTCTCCAGAATCAGGGACCCTTCTGGTGGATGTCCTTTGGGCGCTTCGGCCGAGCATGTTCCTGTTCGATCTCAGGGCTTCGCTGCAGAAGCTGCCGCCCTCCATTTACGGGAAGCGATGGACCACAGAGAACAAGCGGTTTCTGCACATGCGCCGGGAGCGCCGTGCCTCGCCCAGGATGGCGTTTTTTTGTTGGGCCAAGCGGGCGACCGACTTCCTTGATGGGGTCCCTGTTGATGGCCCACGTGAGCTACACTTAATATTGCAGGTGCAGAGATGGCGAACGCTAATTCATAGCAACTCCGCGACGCCGCCATCCCGAGTTGGCCTTTGGGGCCCTCGAACGCCCCGATGTCAGCACCTGTTTCCGCGTCGGTTGGACTGAGGTTGGCTCCAACAGAAGGCCAAGCATCGCTTCATAGACTTCACCCTGCCAGAGCGGGCGGAGTTTCGCCGCTACTTTGACCACCTGAAAGGAGCGAGTAGACCTTCTTCGCACTTGCCGAAGCGGGTCTCCCGTGAATCCCGTGGCTTCTGGGGCCTCTTGTTTGAGTTGCTGTGCAGGACCAACCGGTCTGAATCTTGGCGGCACGCACGTGGTGGCGGCGCCTTGTTTGGCACCAACGTCATGGACATATTGTCCGTAACGTCAAGTGCCGTGATGACGGATGTGCGGACCAAGCCGGATGCGGTTTTGACTCCAACGCGTTTCCAAGCATGACGGTTTTCTTTGGGCCAGAGGTGAAACATAATCAATCTAATTTTTGGCTCCATGTGCCAACTCGTGCGAGGCTGTTGATCATTTTCCAAAACGTCTTTTGGATCACGGCTGCCTGTTGTGTTAAAGCCAGGGTTCGAGGGGGGAACCTTCTGACCCTGCAGAGCCAAAGGATTTCCGGCGAGCAGATCGAAGACCTGCTCATTTCCCTGGGGGTGGTGAACACACAGGACGAGGTTGCGGGGCACCTCGGACGGCAAACAGAAGGCCAAGGTTTGGGTGCCCCTCGAGCCGGGGATGAGTTGGTTTCCAGCCGGGCAAGAATTGGCCTTGAAAAACATAGCAGAACCGAACCGAGCGAAAGAAACGCACGGGGAGGTTCCAAAGTCGGTGGTCCTTCGGGTGAAGGCCAGGTGGCCTTCGACAGGATGCTGAATCCATGCGCGCGCGGGAGGGTGTTCTTTTGATGTGTTGGCCGCTTCTCACGGTTGAGAGTTCATGTCTTGTAACATAGCCCCACTTGTGGCCTTTTATTCTGGGTGTGTAGATTTATCCATCGTTGGTCTCTTGTCAGCCTCAGAAGGATTGTGCTGGGGTGGCTTTGGCTAGGCTGTGAGCCGAGGTTGATTGCCAGGGTTGACGTACCTTGGGCCGCAACGGGAAGCGTGTGGGAATCCTTCAGGTGCGACTTGACGTGAGCATCAGATGGGTTTTTCGAGAGTACCCCTTTTTGGTTGATAGGAAAATCACCATTTTGGTGTGTCCCCTGAAAAAGGACACACCCAAGTTGCAAAGTTTCTTTCTGTTCCACATACAGGGCAGTTCCAAGATGCCCTTAGAAGCCTATTGGCCTCTGAAAAATGCACATTCAGTACAGCCACGCAGCATGTTTGATGTCATACTCACCGCGCCGTAAATTTGCCTGCTGCCCATTGCCTGCCGCCACGCCCACGGGACATGTGAGGGATTTGGCATTTGTTTTGGGTATTCCGCCTGTCTCTGGGCTCCTTCCTTTCCTTTCCTCGGCCTCGGGCCGAGGATCGGAAGACCCAGCAGCTGGACTTCGAGCAGTTCCTGGAGCTCATCACGGTGCGCACCGACTCCAAGACCATCGCCGTGCCGCTCGGCCAGCGGGGCTTGCGGGGGGGTTGCGGGGGAAACCAGGAAGTCAGCACAGGGAGATGGCAAACTGTATGCATACGGATAGCAAGATATCAAGATGCAACAGACTCTGCGAGAGAGAAGTTGCATACCCGAGGTTCAGAGACATGCTGGAGGACTGGCCCGTGATTTAGTGGACGCGCTTCGTCCCTGTGCATTGCACATGAGCCAAGAGGCACTGGCTCATGGGCATTTGCCGAAGTTTTTAAGGGAACAACACGAGTCCGAGCAAGATGTTAGGGAAATCCCCACTAGGTTTTTGGGGGAATCTCTAGAGTGACGAAGGCAATTGGCTCGCATGTTCAAGCCGAGAGGGCAAGTTGGGCGACAACAACCTGAACTTCCAGACGGCGACTTGGCTCTTCATGGCATGGGAACTCCATTTGGGCGAATGACTGTTGCCCACATGGGCCGTGCGAGACTGTGATGAGACTGGACCCGTTGAAGTGGAAGCGATTGCAACTGCCAACCAATCCTACCTTCCCCGGTTGAAGCGAAGCAAAGATCTGAAGAACATGAGTTCCTGGTTAGGCTAAACCCATTGGCCAAGCCCTAAACTACCGAGCAGTAGATAATCCCTACACATTTATTCCTTACTCTGACAATGTTCGCTGTTTAAGGGGATCGTCAAAGTCTGAGTTCGAAGGTTGTTCCCTTCACATCATTGGGGGGACAATTTGACTGGTCGAGTCATGGCATGTCTCAAAATGGGAGACCCCATGAGACTCCCCAGTACGTTTCTCATTGAATAGTTTCCCTAGTGAGCTACCCCTCGTTGGAGTTCGCTTTGGATTCGCCAAACGCCCAAGAACTGCTTCTCCTTCCCTTTGAAACTCAATCCCTCGATTTCTCTTCTCGGGGCTCGTTTCAATGGACGTTGCAACTTCCGGGGAATCCGACGCAGGTCCTAGCGCAGTACCGGCGCCAGCGGCTGCTGGAGGGCTCAGGGGCTGGGGCGACCACCCCAGAACAGCAGGAGATGGGCTGCAAGGCCAGCGGGAGATGGGCCGCGAGCTGAACTTGTCAGTTGCTCCGAAAGAAGTCCACCCGCAGTTGTGGGGCTGGGGGCGGAGGGGGGGGGGCTCGGTTTCTCTTTTGCTCAAAAGAAGGGGAAGTTCACCTTGGGCTGTGATGGAAGCCGGAAACGGGTCGGGTGTTGCGCTTCCATCATCTACAAGCGGTGCTTTTAAGATCATGGCAGTTTTCTCACGCGGTGTGCGGGTTGGCCGTGGCCCTTCGCAGCTTGCATTTCTGGTTGTCACGCTCGGAGATTTGGGAGGTGATCAAACCGGTGAGGAACCCAACATGTTGCACCGGTGCATGTGGGCAGGTCCTGAAGAACTACGCGGTGGCCTGCCCTGACTGGTTCGTGGAATCACAAAGATCAGTAGTTTGTCGATAGGAGTCACAGAACACAGATTTCTTTACGCCACATGCGCCTGTTGGCTGGCCAGATCGGAAATGGCCTCGGCTCCTTCCAATGACAGTGTCAGATTGGTTTCCTAGCAACATGCTTTGTGGAAGCAGAATCAGTGCGAGGAAACACACTTTGGCGGGCTGTCCCAATAGTAAATCTCGTGTCATGTGAGCTGAGGAACTGACACGTAGTCGATCACAGCACCTGAAAAGGCGCGGTGCATGCTCATAATTAGGCACTGCTGCAAATCGTTCCTTTGCTTTGCCGAAGTTGATTGTTGATGTTTGGACACTGAGGTTGTCTCAAGTAGGGGACCCTCCAGTCTTCCTTTTAAAGGACACAAGTTGGGAAGAGCGCAAACATGATCCCGCTGCTGCAGGGATCCTGAGGAGGCTGGGCGGGTGCCTTCTTTCATGTGAGTCCTTCCTTGATACGGCTGAGAATTGTTTGACAAAACCGCAAGAGAAAAAACACGGTGACTGAAAACGGTGATTGATGGAGGCAATGCTTGGGCAAGAGCAGGTCTCAAGACCTAGTCACTAAGTCCCCTGGCAGGAGCAGGAGCTGAAGATGTTTGACGTGGCAGAGGCAACTCGGCCGAGTCGTTGGATGCTTTTGCTGCAGATGTGAAGCCGGATGCGTTAGTGAAGGACCCCCCAAAATGGAAGTGAGCCATTTCGCCAAGTCGCGGTGTCCGGCAGGCGCCCCTGGGTGGCATGAAGACCATGTGGAGAGGAGCCGTTCGAACACGTGCTGGCTAGAATTGGATGCTTTTTGGTTGGCATGAAAGGTAAAGCCGCCATTTTTCGGGGCGCGTGTTTTTGAGAGAGACCTTTATGGGGCATTTGAAAATGCGATCAAGTGTTTGCTGGGACATGGTTGATGCACCATGTGCCAGCCTTCGGATTGTTTGTTTCGCAGCTTGGTCGGGAGCTTGCTTGACCCCAGAGAAACAAGTCGTGTGAAAGATGTGGACCAGCGCCGAGCATCCTGCTCAAACCACTGAGGCATATATAGTTTGCTAAGTCTTCGATCTTGTCATGTCCACCTGCTCTTAGCTCTAAGTGAATCATTCCATGGGTGTCTCAGGGAGGTGACCACGCTTGGCCGCCACTCCAGGTCTCAGGGCTAACTCTTGGCCATTGGCCATTGAGTGGTGCTCTTTGTGACAACTCGGAACTCGTTGGAAGTTACAGTTGGGATAGAGTTTGGAGCAAGTTGCTCAACTTTGAGCATTCAATCCTTGGTGGCCTGTTTTTTTTCCAAGTGTCAAAAAAACGATTCGACACGCAGCGCCACAGGCCATCATGGACCCAATATAAGACAGTATAGGAGGACAGCTCCCGAGGACAGTTCCGAGAACCCTTGACCATCTTCGCAGGACTCTGCACGGAGAACAACCTCATGCCCTCGCGGCCCAGCTCCGGGCGCCGCACGGAGCGGCCCAAGAGCCCCACGGAGATCTTGGCGCCCGGGCCGAGACCTTCGTGCGCGCGAAGCCGCCGCCGACGCCGAAACCGACGCGGCGGGTCGTTGAAAGGTCCCCCAGTAGTGCCGTTTCTTTTACCGTTTCTTCTTTTTTTGGGGAGGCTCGGTTCCCCTACTAAAATAGACTACAGAAAAAAGTTGGTACCCTTGTTCTAACCTCTCTACTGGAGGCCCTAGGTTGCGTGGAAGAGGGGGTGCTCATGTTTTCTGTTTGGGTGATTTCAATGTCACCGGTTGGCAGCAAGTTGATGGGTGTGACTTTGGATGAGGGGGCGTCTTTGGTGGACATCGTTTGGGTGGGGATTTTTGTCCACCAACCATTTGGGAGGGGGTTCCCCGTGTTAGAAATCAAATCCATGTAGAATCAATTCACTTTTCCTTTTGGCGCTTCTTTGGTGCTCCGGAATCATGATGGGCATCCAGATTTCCTTGTTTTTCTGGAACCTTATCTACAAAGGGGGAAACCGCTAAAGAGGAGGACGAGTACGATTTGTTTTCCAGCTCGAGTTTGTGCCTCGCAGGGCCTTGGAAGCTTGGGGCTCCGCGACTAAGGCGCCTTTCCAGCACCTGATCCAGGCTGGATTTGCTGTCTCTCGTTACCCCAAAGCCCCGAAGTGGATGGCTTCCCTTTGGGTTCCCTTTGGAGGAGTCCCAGGGGGTACCTGCAAAAGGAGAAACTCACCCATGCTGTGTGACTGAGGAGGGCTTGGTGTCTCAGTGCAAGCCAGCTGGCACATGGAATGTGCATTCTCACCTCGAAAGCTTGAGATGGCAAATCTTCCCAGTAGTTCCCTAGTTGCTGACAGCAAACGAGGAGGAGCCTACGGTGGTTGTTCGCCTTTGGAGTTAAATTAATTGAATGAATTGTTTGGGCACCACAGCAAGCTTCTTCTATTGCACGTGAAAACAGACCTTTGCATTGAACAGGTTGCATTCTGCATTCTTGATTGACGGATTGCGTCGGATTGATTGCAGCCTCGGTGAACAATCCTGGATATGTGAGAGAAGAACAGACAAACAGCCTCAGCCACATGACCGGTGGCATTTCGCCGGAGGCCAGCAAGAGAAGGCACTCACTCTGCAAAACAGCGGCTGGTCGGCACTGGGATCTGCTACATTGGCTTGTGGAAGAGACTTGTTTGGTGGTTGGAAGGGAGTTAAGGAGCTGAGAATTTCCAAATTTGCCTTTAAAGAGGAAGCTAACGAGCGACGAGAAGAGCTGCGAGGACATGGTAGCTTCAAAAGCCAAAGTTTCGGATCAGAGCCCAGGTGGTAGTGGAAGCCCCAGCTTTCTACGAGGGCTTTTGATGCAAGGCGCGCTTGGACGCTTGGCGGGGGTTGGGGTGCGGACAGAGCCGCCGCCAGAGCAATGTGTATTTCTCCCTCAGATTTACAGGGAGGTGTCACTTCGCTCAAGGATTTACCAGGTGTTTGCAGGGTGCCACAGGATTTGCCAATTGTTTTAAGAGCACCTCAAGGGTTGTAAGCCACTGGGAACAGCTCTTTTTTGGATGCGGCCAGGCACCGTGACGCGCATACTATGGCGAAGCCATGTGCAACTTTCATCAGTGCCGGACCTGAGGCATGAGGAGAATCGTGCCATGCGATTCATCAAAACCAATCTGTTCCGAGAGCCAAGTGCCATACAACACTCTGTTACCCCAAAGATGTCTGACAGCAGCTTTGGGCCGCCCCAGCTCGGTCGCCCGTTTTAGGGTTTCACGAGGCACGAGGAATACGACATGTTCTCGCCTTTCATGAATGAAGTCTTGACGTCTCAAATGAGAAGTCTTTGTTAGCAAGTCGCTGTTGGCTTTGCTTCGATTCCTTGTCCGAGTTCGCAGACGACTTCAGTAGGTGCGAAGGAAAACATGTCCAGCTCGGCTGCAAGACTGTGTACTGGGGTCTGGGTGAGCCGCTGTGGATCGCGCCTTTTTTTTTCCCCGTGGAATCAATTTGTTGGTCGTTGGCTTCAAGCCGATGCGAGCGCTGTGTTTCCCCGCAGTGTGCCTGGTCAATACCCCATGCACATTGGCCATCCAAGTGAAGCTGAGGTCGTCCCTTTCCCAGAACAGAGCCTTGTGCAGAAGTTCAGTGAGAGTCGGCGATTCGTTTCACCTTGGCAGTTTGTCTTCTATTTGCACTCAGAGTTCTCGGAGTGCGTGGCTCGCGTGGGGGTTGTTTGTCACGAGCCAACCTGGCTGGATTTGTCGACGATCATGACACAATGCGCCAGCAGCACGCTGGGGTCTGGGTTTGCTCTGTTTGACTCGTGATGTTTGAAGGCACATGCAGAGGACCCTGCGTGGCATGCTGCACATTGTGGGGCAGAGCCGTGGGGGGGTGAAGCCACGGGTCAGAGTGCTTCAGGAGGTCCTGGTTGTTCCTGACACAATGTGGTGTCCAACTGGACGGATGGGGCATGTACAGAGTATGGATCGGCTTGCAAGGCAAAAATCGCGTTGGAGCCCGCATCGGCTGCTTTCGCACGCTCACGATAGAGAGAGTCACTTCGAGCTAATGAGCACCGCAGCAGACTCCATCGGTCCATAGCAAGAAACCCGTCAACATGCATGTGAAATGCACCTTTAGCAGACAAGACATGCACACAGCCACACCAAGACAGGCCGTCGGAATGGATAGTTGTGGTTGCTTTGGTTGGAGCATACTTTCATGGAAGCCAACTATTGTTAGCCATTTTATATACGCAACATGTCGAAGGTGATCCAAGGAACGCCAATGCCAGGGGTGGACATATCTTGTCTCAAAGTCATGCCATGCTCTGGCGGCTTCTGGTTTTGCCTGCAGCGGCAGGCGCATTGGGCCCATCCGGCTGGCCGCCACGACTGGGGGTTCCGGGAACGCACGCATTTGGAGAATCCGCACATTCCAGGGTTTCCAGGCGGAGTTGTAGGACAAAAGTCGCAACTGGTAGCTGTTCTGCGAGTTGCCTTGTCACCTCCACAAAGAACAAGATCAGAAAGGTGTGCGACACAAGTGGGTTTGTCCCCAAACAGGGAACTGCCAAAATGAGTGGCTTGGCACTTTTCGCAGGTGCGAGTCTGCAGATAGAGTTCCAGGGTCAGGACACGGTGGTGCGGAATGGCTCGGCCATTGCCGGGCGCCCCGGTGGCACAGCCTCCTCTTGGCAGCCAAGTGGCCAGTTCTTTACCCGGATTTGTTTTGCGTTGGTCTTGTTTCATTGGCGAAACCGCATGGCAGCTTTGCCGGTTTTCGGATTGGTCCTGACGGCGTGCTGCTTGAGAGTGGCCGTGCTGGTCATTTCGGCGTTGAAGCTGTCACGAACCCGAACGGGCGTTCCAGGTCTTCACAACCAGCGTGGACGATACATCCTCAGGCTCCGACACAGATGCAGACATTACAGGCGCGGAGGGGTGGTTCAACCTTGACACCAGCGGGGGAACCAAGATATATGCCTCAACCACCCAAGAAGAATGAAAAGGGGCGTTTGTTCCCCTCAGAGAAAGGAGGGCAAACGGCAGGGCCTTGTTGCAACAGGTACTGCGGATGCACATCCCACATCCACTCAACGCACCAAGGTGGACACTCGATTCGAATACTGTGAACTATCACTAGCTGGAGGATTTTGCCCATCAGTAGCCCGTGGTGTGCGCTGCCTCAGGCGACGAGGAATTCTTCCGGGGGTGTCTCTGGACCTACAGACAGCAGGCCTGAAGGATCGCATACGCGCGCGGAGGGAAAGACCAAAAGGCAAAGGGACGCCTTTGATCGTTTGTGGTTTTGTGGCCACTCAAGTTATTTGAGTATGATATTTAGCTTTTTACGATGTTGGGCGGATGCAACTGCCAGATCTTGCGACTCCGACTGAAGCCAACGAAGACACTGAAGCCAACGAAGCCACTGAAGCCGCTGGACGCCACGGAAGACACTGGAAGCTGTTGGCTGGTTGACCTTTGTGCAGTGTCCTCGTATGTCCAGGTATCTCTGTGTCAGGGAGGCGCCTGCGGTGAAGCAGAGGCCGGGAACTCGCATTGCAGTCCAAGTGCCGCGCATCCAGAGATCCCTCCAACTCAATGCGACATATATGGCTGCGGTTGTCAAAAATAGGGTAACCCCAAAATGGGGCCCTGGCAAGTAGGACTAAATCCTGCGGTCTGGTGGTTTAATTTTGGCCCATACTGACCCATGCCACCCCTGCTGCCTGTGGTAAGCAAAACGGCTCACGGGTGCCTTGGTGTTTCAATGGAAGTGGAGCTGCGAATGTTCGGCAGATCATGGCGCACGACCTGCAGCGGCAGCTGTTGGCCTTCTACGCGGAGAGGCGAGGGCAGATTTATGGACCAATTTCTGTGGGTTTTCTCCTGGTGTAGTAGCTTTCTCAGCTTTCCTCTTGAAATGCCGAACCTGTCCCAGTGCCAAAATGATAAAAGAAGCCACCCTTAAAGAGGGCTTTTCCAGGGCCACCGCCCTTTCCGTCCCGAATCAGCTTCATGGATGGGGATTTTCGATGCCCCGCAGATGTTACCACCTCCCCACCCGGATCTTTGGGGATTCAGAGGTTGGCCATTGGGCGTGGGTTTCTCTGGCTGCTGACAAAGTTCGCCAAGGTTGCCTTCACATTCGCAGTGCATGTCTCGAGCCACGGGATACCGGATAGCTGCCGATCGAATCTGAACTGGTGCCACGCCCATGGACGGGGCCCGTCCTGTTTCCCTTGAACTAGCTTTGGCTCGGGTCCCGAGCCACGCTCAACATGTGGTTTGCGCTCCCGCACTTATCTCCCGACTTGGGAGATCAGGTATGCAGTGCAAGGAAACAGACGGCAGCATTCCTCAGGCTTCCTGATGGCCAGACTTGGACCAACCGCCCAAGATGCCAAAGCGGCTCTCGGATCCGAGCCCAGGCGCCGTGCGCCGCCCTTGGAGGAGGCGGCCTGGCTGGCGCGGGGCCTCGAAAGCTACCCAGGTTGGAGACCGAGGTTCGCGCTCGAGGAAAAGCAAATCCTAGGCCGTCGCGAGGGTCGTTTGCCAGTCAGAAACATGGCGGGGGGGAAGTCTGAATTTTGGGAGCCACAGAAGCGCGCCTTCTGGAGCTTGATTGAACGCCACGCCCTTCTGAAATCTCTGTTTCATGAGAAAGCATGTTGCTGATAAAGAGGGTGGTGATGTGGCAATCCAAAATTATCCACAAACAGGTCAAGGAGAATCATTCTTGATAGCGGTGGCCGTTTGCAGCTAAGCTGACAACCAACACCCCGAGCGGTCCGAGCATGTCGCTTGAAGGGTTCGAATTTCCTGACCCGACCTGATCCTTGATGTTGCTTCCCTTTGCAAGCCAAAGACAGCCATGGCTGAATGTTTACACTACACTTTGTCTCACATGTAGCTTAAGGGCCTTCTTTGTTTTGTGTTTGGTTCATGCCGTGTCGCATGAGCCCGAGGGAGGTCCACTTCCGATCTCATCATAGCTCTTGAATGACACCAGGCTCCAGCGTGGAAGTTCTAAGCCCAGCGGAGCTCTGTGAAGAAGCTCCGGCAGTGCCAACTGACCATTGTTTTCAAGTGCCAACTCCCTGGGGGTGCCAAACAACCATGGGATATCATCGCCTCATAGCCACTTGGGCCCCAGGGCCCTCGGCCGAGGCCTTGGGCTCGCCGGAGCAGCGGCGGGAGGCGCGGAGAGAACCAGTAGGCGGAGATCTCAGCTCAGACCTCGAGGCACATCTCCATATGTCAGAAATTTGAATTGCAAGTCGACTTGAACAACACCTCCTTTTTTTGATTGGCTGGTGGGTTCGGCCGAAAAGCGGAACTTCTTTTTCACCGCCGGGCACCGTGTCAGATCTTTGATAGCTGCCCGGGCCTGCTGATCTCGGTGCTGTTTTTGATGGCGGAGGCGCCCGAGTGCAGCCTCCTTGGTCTACTTTACCTGATCCGGAATTTGTGTTTTCTATTCGGTCGACATGGGGGCTTTATGTCGACCAAGCATCTCTTTCGCGAGTTTCAACAATGTGCTAGCTCTTTGGCCATTAGATATAGCGACTTTGAGAGTGAACAGTCTCTATGCGTGGTCTTCATTTGGGTGTCTGTTTTACGGAGCCATGGAAAATGGGTGGGCTTTCCAATGGAATCCCTCTAAAAACCCAACCAGAAGGGGGTTTCCAAAAAGACTGACCCATCCACCTGGCATTTCCGGTGCGTTTGCCTACCCATCGGCTACCTCCAACATGGCGCCTCGGGTAGATGGCCTCTTTTTTAGTTGTAAATAGCTGCCTTCTTAATTCTTTGCAGGTTGTGGGTAGACCCAGTACCCACAACCCACAACCCACAACCCTGCAAAGAATTAGGGTCAACCACAACCCATTCTTTGCAGGGTTGTGGTTGTGGGTTTAGTACCGGGTGTTGATTCTGACTCAGTTTCCTCGCCCCAGCTGCCACGGCTTACCGTTCGAGGGACGCTCTGCTTCAGGCCCTGGACTCGGTGGGCCAGGGCGCGGCTTATGCGCGGGAGGCTCAGCAGCTGGCGGCGCAGGCGAGCTGACTAGGTCGAAAAATCGGGTAACGGCCGCCCTGCTGGGTGTCCTCTTTGGTTTCCCCAGGCAAAAAACATCCGAGGTAAACATGTGACCCTCAAAAAATCACATGTGCACACACACACACACACATGAAGCCCCTGTTGGTGCATTTGTACTTGTTTGTCACTTTCAAGGTCCAATTGTTTGACCGATTCCCATTTGGCCTTGTTGTCGGGATTGGTGGGCGTCCCATTTTGGAGGGAAGCATTCAGTGGAGCCCATGTAATCATCAAGCAGGTTGATAAATCCAGGGTCGACATACCCCGAAAGCAGAACACGTGTTTTTTTTTTGGGTTGCTTGTTTGCTTGTTTGCTTGTTTGCTTGTTTGCTTGCTTGTTTGCTTGCTTGTTTGCTTGCTTGTTTGCTTGCTTGCTTGCTTGCTTGTCAAACATTGTTTGTTTGGATGTTTGTTTACTTGCTTGCTTGCTTGTTTGCTTGCTTGCTTGTTTGTTTGCTTGCTTGTTCGCTTGTTTGCTTGCTTGCTTGCTTGTATTGTGTTCGTGTGTGTTTCCCCCCACAAGTTGCGGATTTCCTCTTGGTATGCCAAGCTTCCGAGAAAAAGGGGGCACATGGACCTGCAGAGGGTGAGCACCTGAATCTGTTATTGGGTAGTTCTAGGTAGGGGATTGCACATTTGCAGCTTTCAAACAGTGCACCATGCTTGGGCGGGCTGGGTGTTGTACAAGTGAGACTTGCTTCCTCCTTGCGAGTCCTGCAGACCCCATACTGGTGGGCCACGGTGGCTATACGGCAAGGATGGCCGTTTCTTTTTTCCCTTTACATGGCTCCGAAGCTATGTTTCAGGTCTCCAGAATATATACAGTTTTTCCCCTTTTGTTCTTTTCTAGATTACCTGGGCCACTCAGTGCGTTTCCTCCAGATCAAATGATTCATAATCGCAGCGACAGGCGCCGGAAGAAGAGCCGCGCGCCCAGATGCGAGGCTCTGACCGCTCAGAGCGTTTCCCTCTCTCCAACAAGGTCCCGTAGGGTTACAACTGTGTGTTCCCTGATAAATGGGTGTGGCTCAAAATTAAAGAGCCAGGGTTAGCAGTTTTTAGTCTTTGGTTCCATTTACCAAGGTGCCATTTTGATACATTTTTGCGAGCCGCAGCCAAATGATGACATCACCTGCCCTGTATCTAATCCTGGACGTGGACAGGGGACTTTTCTCAAGATGTGATGGTAGTCTTCCAAACACCTCCTGTCTACTTCCGTGATGGTTCGAAAAATGGTTTTGTCCTTCGGATCTTGCCCCAGCCCCGAGCAAGAGCTGCACAGTCGGCAGCAAAGCGCGCCCACCAGAGCCGCATCAGCTGAAGCTGAGGTTCGAGATGATGCTCACCATGTTTCCGGTGAGAGAGGCAGGATTTTGTCATAACAGGGTTTGATACAAGAGATGCCGGCTCTTTCCAGCGACCAACCTTCAGAAGACGGTGCTTGGCAGTTTGTGGAGTCAGTGCTCCAAATGAAGTTGGTGCTTGGCGATGCCCGGCAATGCCCATAACAAGGTAGTTCTGTACCAGATCCACTCAAGGTCACAGTTTGGGAAGACGGGATATGGTCGAAGCTCTAAATTTGTCGCACAAGTAGAGAGCCAGCCCGCGCTTATCCCAAAGCCAGCGCGCCAGGCATGGGCTGGCTATCAGCAGCTGGCGGCCCTTCCCCGCAGGGATGTTTCGGCCGGGCTGGCGTGGTTGTTTCCTTTTGGTTTCCCTCTAAAACCAACCAAAACGGAAAAGGCACACCCAGAAGTGCAGTTGCTTGGCGTGGAGCATCGGGTTGTTCCCATTTGAGGGGGGGGGAACCTCCGCTGCCAGGTAGACCTGGTGATTGCCCGCTGTAAGTCCCCACTGCAGTGGCTATGGGAGCCGCTTGGACGAACGCCCAGAGGGCGAATCACAGTCCTTGGATTGTGTTGTTTTCCCCCAACGGTTCATTTGTCCGGCGTGAGTATTTGGACGGTCCGCCATTGGTGTACTCAGGTTTGAGTTCCCTCGGACCAGGGTCTTGATCTTCGACAAGTCAGCCTGTCATGCTTTTGTGCATAGCTCTGAGAAGGACATGAGCGCACATGACTCAGTGCCAGTGTTATGCAAGCAGTCGTCTTGGGCTTGCATGGAATGAACCGCCTCTGATTGATGCTATCTAGCACCGGGCATGACCCCACAATATCTGCAGTCGTTTCTGTCACCACTTTTCGCTGCATGTGGCAGGTGCGACCGTGGCACGGAGGATTTCAAGTCGCAAACGCTGGGCAACCTAGCGTCCGCCTGCACGATTTGCTGAAGGCTTGCCAATATAAGCGCTGTTCAGCCGTCTATCCTTGATATGGGTTTGACATGGGAGGGAGGACTCGCAATGGAGACCCAATTTTCCCACGTCCTTTTGGAGGGCCATGTAATAGTGTGCGTGGCATGTATCATTGCTTGGCTGATCCTTGAACACATAGGTTTCTACTTCATGTACTGCGGCCAATGTCCGTTGTTCGTTTCAAAGGGTGTTTGTGTTTGATTGCAGGACTGCCTGTGACCGTCGCATTTTGCTTAGTGAAGGACATCCCTCACAGCTGGTGTGACATATGTTAGGGCACCAACAAGCACCTTCCTAGGAGTGGCGCGCCATTTGCAACGAGTGGCGTAGGAGTCATTGTATCATACCCCGTTCTGGTCGCTTCCGCTTCGGATGCCATCCGCAGGTCAGGTTTGGGTGAAGCCCTCCCGGAGCTCCACGTGGTGCGCGAGGCGGGGTAAGAAGTCCAGGGAAGGGCGCGATCCGTCGAAAGTGATCCAGTTTCAACCAGCGGAAAAACAGACCCTAGCGATGTGTGTGTGTGTAAGGTCGGGTGCGAGAGTGGCAAAAGTCTCGCCGCCGTTTTCGTGCTGCGCACATGGCAAGGACAGTCATCGCTGGCAAGTGTGAGCCGCATGACGCAGGTCCCTTCCCAGTTTCCAGATCAGGAGGGGCCACTGATGACCGGGGAGTGCACCGCCTACTTGCGGTACCTTCAAAACCGGGACTTCGCAGCCAGGGCCTCGTCCAAGTTTCCAGTGCAGGCATCTTGGCGGGCCAATGTTTTACTGCACGGATAGGTGAAGTGTGAAGGTTGAGGTTTTGTGACTTCCCTTCTTGCGGCATGGAGGGTCCTCCCTTGTCGCCATCTTAGGACTTCGCCATCTTCCTGCATGATGATGCCCCGCCACAGCCCAGGGAGAGCGACGCACGTACCCACACCTTTGTTATGGGCACAAATTGGTCACCTGCACTTGGACTCTGCCACCCTCTTGATATGCGTTCATGATCCCCCTCATCACACAACAGAGGTGATATAGTGTATGAAGGTGGGGCACCGTTTGGGCCTAGGCGTCACATCCGCTTGTCAATGCTCTCGCTGGTGCTGAGGCTGGGCAGAGACGAACAGAGGAAGTGGAGTGACGGAGGGATCATCCCCCTTTTGCCAGGAAACTATAATACACACTCACAATATGTATTTGTATCTTCTAAACATATCATCACATGTATGAAGATGACTGGGTGCGAATTCAGCACTACCTGAGATGCACATCATCCATTCAAAGTATGTCCGGTACTTAAGAGTGCAGAACTTCCTGCATCAACAGGCTACTTCCCAGTAGACGTACACAGCAAGAAGAAATAATCTGAGACTGGGGTGGCATTTCTACTGCAAGCTGATAGCAGATACCGGCCTACCCAAATCAAATCTTGAAGACAGATGGTAAGATGATGCCTTCTGCACATTGGGCCAGTCAGCTGGCCCAAGGTCCATGCAGCACGGCGCATTCGAGGCCCGGGAGTTTGGTTTCCACGACCGTGCCAAGTTGGCTTATTCTGGGGGGGGCCAGAAAATCCGTGCCTCTCTGGCTCTAGGACCCTGTGAACCTGCCCATTTCCAGCATGGTCCGTTGTCAATTGAGCCACAATCAAAATCCGGGTAGAAGAAGGTTTGTAGGGGATACTCCCAAGCCACAAGTAGCTGCGACCGCCTTCTTAATTCTTTACATGGTTCTGGGTAGACCATGTTAATACCGGGTTTTGATTATGACTCAAGTGGCTTCGGCCCCTCCCATTCGCGGCAGGTCCAACATATTTTGCCCTCGAAACGTTGGCTGTTTGGAAGGTGCCGTTCCTGCATCTCACGCATGAGCGCTACCCTGCCTTCTCCACGCCTTGCTTCAAGCAGGCGGAGCACGGTTTGGGCAATTTTTCTCCATGGTTTTCGGGCAGGGACGCGAGGGGACTCACTAAATGCCCAACAACGTCCAGGGACTCGAATCATTCCGACTACTTGCGCAATGTTCGTCGTGGGAATCGAGTGTTTTGACAGCTCAACCCGCAGCCGTGGGCGATGTGACACCATTGCGTGAGGTGTATCGGCAGGCCATGGGTGAGGAATTGGTCGGGCGACCCAGCCTCAGAGAAGCTGCACGTCAGCCCATCTTTTACTTCCCGACGTCCAGCTTTTTCTGGTAAGATGGCAGGGGATCCGGATGAGAGTTGACAAAAAGCGGCCTCTTCCACCTTTGGATTGCATTGTGGGATCCGATCTCTCCAAGGCCTGGCAACCTACTGCTGCAGCCACTTTGTGGTGAGCCGCCGGCGCATGGAGGCGCACCGCCGGAACAGGTTCGGCTGAGCAAAAGAAGGAGCTGATGCGCCAGCTGGGGCTGGGATCAAATGTGCCATTCCCATGTCGGACAGAGCACCGTGGCTCACAGGTCAGTTGCTGGTGATCTGTGTTCGAGTCACATCGCAAACGGGTCCGTGCTCGTACCCGTGGCCTCGTAGGCCCGCACGGCCGCCTTCTATGACCGCATCTTCCAGATGGTTTCCACGGCTGCAGCCTGAGACCTTTGCAACTTTGCCCAGGTTTGCTCCCAACCATGTGGGCCAGTGTTTCAACCCTGTGGGCCGTGTTTCAAAACAGGAGACCCCTGAAAATGTCTGTAATTCTTTAAAAGCTTCCAAGACCTTTATTTGCGTGTTTGTTGCTTCTCCGTGAAATCTGGTACAAGATGAGGCACAGCTTCCGCTATCAGCAATCGAAACCACAGCCACTCAATGTTCCGTATTTCGTTTGGTCAATTTATTGTGTCAAGCTGAGGGTCAGTGCTAAGTGGTCGTCCAATGTCGTTGCGCCATTCGTATGATTGTCAGTCATGTCGGTCTTTTTGATGCGCAGTTGCACCAACTCCAAAGCAGCCCGCCCTGTTGCCTTGCAGAACAGCCTGACACACAAACACATCAACCCACAACTTGGCAAGCCAGCCCAGGCCTCTTATGGATTGGAGAGTGGGGGCGTGTGCAAGGCCGGGACAAGTTCACTGAGACAAGATGGCTGTGGGTCAAAACCAATCAGATTGCGATGTCCACTGGGGGTACGGGATTTTGACCCATGGCACAGAGCTGCTGCAGGTTGGCAAGAAACCCTGCTACGCCATCATCTCAGAGATGCATCGGGGTGAGGGCGCTTTGTATCCAGTCGAGGCCTTTTGAAGCTCCGAAATGGGGATGAGGCACATTGGGCTCTTGGAGTGGCCAATTTGGGAGCGCGTTTGGATCTGAGAGTTGAGACCCTGACATCATTGAATATCGCTCAGGTCCTGTCAATAAATTTAGTAGTCTGGTCGACAAAACGACAACACTCACCAAATGTCGAGTGTCGCGCACATGTTGATATTGGTCGGACCGTCTTCCATGAACTCTTTAGGGAGCTTAGACAACAAGTCAGGCAACCCCTAGATGGTGGTTTGGATTTGTGGTTTGGGATTTGACCTCGAAATCCGAGGGAAGCTGAATGTGGGCCCAAAATGATTGGCTTACTTTTGTCTTTCCTTTAAGACCAACCAAGAAGGGGTAGCCCTCAAACAAAATCGATTCGGAATCCTTCTGTTTGGGACGCCCGGACTTCTGACTCAGGTCCTGGAGTTCTTGTGGCACGCCATCTTCGGAGAGCCGGCGGACATGCCGTCAGAGGGCCCCAGGTTTGGGCCGAAAAGGGCCAAGAAGCGGGCAGTTGGCTCCGCGGCAGAAGGAGTCCGTTTCTCTTGGGCCAAGAAGGGGCCCTTTCGTTTGAGAGGCTGGACTCCCACGCTCAGAATGTTCTGGGGAGATGAACGATATCCCTGCCACACACGCGCACACACACACACACCCACACACCCACACACCCACACACACCCACACACCCACACGCAGACGCAGACGCAGACGCAGACGCAGACGCAGACGCAGACGCACACGCAGACGCAGACGCAGACGCAGACGCAGACGCAGACGCAGACGCAGACGCAGACGCAGACGCAGACGCAGACGCAGACGCAGACGCAGACGCAGACGCAGACGCAGACGCAGACGCACGCAGACGCAGACGCAGACGCAGAGACGCAGAGACGCAGAGACGCAGAGACACAGAGACGCAGAGACGCAGAGACGCAGAGACACAGCAGAGACGCAGAGACGCAGAGACGCAGAGACGCAGAGACGCAGAGACGCAGAGACGCAGAGACGCAGAGACGCAGAGACGCAGAGACGCAGAGACGCAGAGACGCAGAGACGCAGAGACGCAGAGACGCAGAGACGCAGAGACGCAGACGCAGAGACGCAGAGACGCAGAGACGCAGAGACGCAGAGACGCAGAGACGCAGAGACACAGAGACGCAGAGACGCAGAGACGCAGAGACGCAGAGACGCAGAGACGCAGAGACGCAGAGACGCAGAGACGCAGAGACGCAGAGACGCAGAGACGCAGAGACGCAGAGACGCAGAGACGCAGAGACGCAGAGCAGAGACGCAGAGACGCAGACACACGCAGAGACGCAGAGACGCAGAGACGCAGAGACAGAGACGCAGAGACGCAGAGACGCAGAGACGCAGAGACGCAGACACGCAGACACGCAGACACGCAGACACGCAGACACGCAGACACGCAGACACGCAGACACGCAGACAGGCAGACACGCAGACGCGCAGACGCGCAGACGCGCAGACGCACAGACGCACAGACGCACAGACGCACAGACGCACAGACGCACAGACGCACAGACGCACAGACGCACAGACGCACAGACGCACAGACGCACAGACGCACAGACGCACAGACGCACAGACGCACAAACGCACACACGCACA